ATAGGCTCCTGAAACTGTCTGCTGCCCAAAGAAACCCTTTGCTATCATTAATCGATGGTATCCCGGTGTTGTGATCAAAATCCCTGCTTGCTGCCTTATCACGCTCAGTATGACCGCGCTTCGGTCTCATCTCATGCCTCAGCCATAATCCAAGTCCTCACGTATTGAGCCAACTAGCGGTCCCATGATGTCCCTAGTATCCAGTTAGGTCATGCACAATATAATTCAGCGGTAGGTTACACACAAACGTGGGCTACATAGGGGTTGAAAAGAACATAAAATCGGGGCGGTTTGGTATAGAAACACCATCTCGACACAAAATTAGGAAATTAGTGAAATCTAAGAATCTTATGTTCTTTTTCATCGTTCTTTCTCTCTATTTCCGACACAGCCGCAAGAATACCGAAATGACACGCTCGACTTGCCTCCTCAAAATTGCTTGCACGAAGTCCTGTGCGTGCGGTCGAGGTCAAACACCCGTGGCGATGTTTGCAGATTCAAAACTGCCCCTTTATGGTGTAAACATGGCGGCGGGAGCATAAAACGGTGGTTGGTCTGAATGCCTTATTTTTTCGTCCCTCGTCTGTCGTATTTGCTGTTAAAAATTGTTGACATTGTTAAGGGTGGGTCTGTAATTCCCTCGTTTCGGGAGGCCGACTGGATTTGGCCGCTCGACAACGTGTCAGGTTGGGAAATCTCTTTTGCCAGCCGAAGTGCCCTTCAGTATCGTGACATTCCCCTAAGATCAGACTTCCGATCTCTTCATTGATGGGGATGGACAACCGATCGATCTACAACATCCGTCTTCTCAAATAGTACCCTTATTCGTGGTGCGATAATCTGGTTCACTGGGTGGATCCTCCTTTACTTTCTTCCGGAGGTCGCTATAGATATAGTCTTGTGCACGCATTTCAAACTTTTTGCTGTAAGTTTGTCCCTATGTCCACTAGCTCCAAAGTAGTCGGCTCTTCTACTTAGAGCATCTGCAACCAAATTATACTTCCCTTTTACGGGTTTAAGCTCAAAGTCTAACTGGTCTCTCTGAGGCCCACCTAGTAAGCTTAGGTGTTATCTTGGACCGAGTTTTCAACCACCTAAGTGTCTCGTGGTTTGAACAGACTTTGAAGTGCCTCCCAAACAAGTAATGTCTTGAGTGGTCTAATGCTTGCCTTAGAGCGTAGAGTTCCCTCTCATAAGTGGAGGCTGCTACCTTTTCTGAAGGCAACCTAGCAGACATGAACTTTACGGGCGTGTACCCATTGCCATCGTCTTGCCGTAAAACAAGTCCAATACCATACTGACTCGCATCAATGGTGACAACAAAGGGTAAGGATGGGTCAGCTACCTTGAGGACTGGGTACTCTATCAGGGCCCACTTGAACTTCTCTAGGGCAGATGTGGTCTTGGTCCCACTTCCAAATTGCTTATTTCTTTAGCAGTCTACGAAGGGGAGCAACGATGGCAGAAAAGTTTCTAACGAACTTCCTATAATAATTAGCCAATCCTAAAAACGATCTCAATTATGTGAGTGTACGAGGAGTTGGCCAGTCTCAAATCGCTGCGATCTTGTTGCCCTCATGTTTTATGTCGTCACCATATAGAATGTGGCCCAAGTACAAAATCTCGGTCTTGGCCCACTCACACTTCTTTGCGTTGATCTTGAAGTTTGCCTCTCGCAACTTCCCCAAGATCTGCCTCAGATCAGCCTCCTACAGGGTCTTACTAAAGATTATAATATCGTCTAAGTAAACAACTACAAATTTATCTAACAATGACCTAAACAAATCGTTCATACAACGTTGGAACGTGGCCGGTGCGTTGGGTAGTCCAAAGGGTATGATTATAAACTCATAATGCCCATATCTGGTTTGGAACGCGGTCTTGTACTGATTATCAGGGTGAACTTCAATCTGATGGTACCATGATTTCAAATCAATCTTTGAAAAGTACTTGCAGCCCTGCACCCGATCAAGCAAATCATCTATTCGGGGCAGCAGTTATGCATTCTTGATCGTGACTGCGTTAAGGCCCCTACAATCAACACACATTCTAAGCTCTCCCTCTTCCTTGGGAACAAAAAGAACAGGTGTTCCAAATGGAGATGAACAGGGCCTAATCCAACTCTTCTCGAGGAGCTCGTCTAGCTGCTTGCGCAACTCCTCTAACTCCTTAGGGGACATTTTATAGACTCCCCCTTAGGAGCTCTACTACCAGACTCTATTTCAATGCGATGGTGGATATGATGCTCAACTACTCCTGAGGGGGGTTTCGACAAATCTGCGTCCTCTTCCAACAGCTTGACAATCACAGGGTTGGTATCTTCCTCTTTCCTAGGCTCAGTGACTGGCCTAACATAGTCCACAAATAATTGCTCTTCTAATTGCTCTTCCTTCATTAGTCGCACAAACGCGGGAGCATTGAGCCAGCAATGTGACAAGGAGTTGTTTACTCTAGACACATGAAACAGGTGGGTTGTCTTGACCCCACCTGAAGGACTAGGGAGCCTACACTCGTGTTCTGTCAGATGCAGTGTGGCCCCTGCTGCCTCTCCTCAATCCATGCCCAAGACCATATCAAACAGGAGATTGTCCTCTACAAGGAGAGTCAGGGAATGAAGAACTTTCTCCATCTTCCCATCTTTTTGTAGGCGAGAATATGTCTGGACTCCCTCGACGTATTCCTCGATTCGCATCGTGCGATTATCTGTGAGGATACTGACTATGGGCTCTGCCATCTTCTGGACTTTTAAGCTAAGGTTCAACTTCTTCAGCGCTTTGCGGCTAATATAGTTGTGGGTGGCCCCATTATTTATAAAGGCCTCTTTTCTGCCTTTAAAAATCTCTACATCTACTAATACTACCTGCCCTTTTGCTGCTTTCTTCATCTTGGCGTAGGCTGGCATCCTCTCCTTCAACTCTTCCGCCAGTCCTGTAAGGGAAGTGCCGAGAGATACTCTGACACAAGCTGTCTCTCGACAACTAACTAGACGGTGGCCAACAACCTCTGCCATAGACACATGTGGGTTGGGAGTTTCTACTTGGTGCGCGCACTCATCTCCACATGGTTTAGAGGTAAGGGCAGTTGCTACCCCTACCGGCGGTTGCCTTTTGCTGACTCTGCAGCAGCTCGTCGGACATTCCTATATTTTGGGCAAAAGTTTATAATGTGCCCAGGGTCACCGCAATAAATGCACTGACCCGCGTCTATCCTCTTTTGCCAATCTGTCTGTTCCAAACCTTGCGATTCCCAACGCCGACCCTGAGGCCAACCAGGGTGCCATCCACCCGTTCTGGGAGTTGACCGATTGGAATGAGGACGATTTGACGGGGGACCTTGTCCCGTTCTTTCCTCTTGGCGGTTTCCCCTGCCGCCAACCCCTTGGCCGCCCTGTCCTCGACCACTAGAGGCCTGGCCCTCTTGGCCCCGACCTCTTCCTTTCCCTTGCGGTCTCCCTTCGGTCGGGACTTTAGCGTAGGTCCTCCTCTCACCTTCACTACGGTCCTCCTCGTCGAGGCCCCACTCAATCTCATTATAAGAGACCTCTTCTAAACTACCTTCATCTAAAATGAGAATAAGGTGAACTTTGGCCTTAACTTTGCCTGAGATGGTTTCGCCTTTCCACTTTTTATGTTTCGTGAGGTCCTTGTGCCAGAAAGTGGTAACTAGCGTGGACTGGGCCTCGAAAGCAACGACTTCCCTACTAAGCGTGTAGTACGTCATGTTGGGTTGTTGCTTCTTGTCAAAGAAGTGCTCGTGCAAAGTCTTGGGCATGGTGTGATAGACTAGTTGTGTAGTAACCCTGTTCAAAATTAGCCTGGGGCCTAGAACTCAGCCCCAGGCAACACAAACCTGAGTTAGTCTGCGTTGGGTTGTGTGACCAAGACACGCCCAGACCTGAGTCTGTCGCGTGTGGCTGTGTGATCGAACACTGCACACAGGAAATTCAAGGGTCAAAGTCAACTGTAGAGTCAAAGGTACCACACCCAGGCCCATGGTTGGATACACTCACTTGTTGTGCGCAGGTACCCAGACAACATCCAGGCCGGAGGGAATTCAGTTTTAGACCAATCTGGGCCCTCGTTTGTATTGAGATCTGAACGGTTGAGGGATGCTGCATCCGGGGTCCAGACCCGGCGTCAACGCTACGTAAGTGCTGACTTCCTGGCTTTGACATTCATTCTGTCTTGCGTTGATGCTGACTTCACACATTGACTTCAACGTTGGCTTGACGTTGCATTGAGATTTGCGGCGACGCGCTGCTAGCTCGGCATAGTGGCTTGCTGGCTACTGTCTTCTTTGCATGCTGACGTGGCAGCTGCCATGCTCTGTCGCTGATGTGGCTGCTGCCACGTGTATCATTGCCTGATGTGGCTGCTGCCACGTGTTCTATGGTTGGGACTACGTGACCGACATTGCTGTTCTGTTTCATCGTCACTTCAGGAGGAGATCAGGACTGTGGAGAGATCGTGGATACATACCTGATGGTCANTGGGACTACGTGACCGACATTGCTGTTCTGTTTCATCGTCACTTCAGGAGGAGATCAGGACTGTGGAGAGATCGTGGATACATACCTGATGGTCATGTCGACATTGCTCCAGCGCTGATGAGAGACTAATTCGATGTGCCACGTGGCACATTGAGGTTACTTCAGATGCTCTTTCAGACTATGGACTAGCGAGATGGTGATCGAGGAGGGAGCCCGAAGCATGAGTGGGCCTTGTATTATTCCTCTCCTTTGTCTAATCTCCCTCCTCTCTCTTCGTCTGTGTATGATTATNTCGAGGAGGGAGCCCGAAGCATGAGTGGGCCTTGTATTATTCCTCTCCTTTGTCTAATCTCCCTCCTCTCTCTTCGTCTGTGTATGATTATCTCCTCTCATTCTGTCTGGATACGATTTTGACTATTGGTAATCATCAGCTGCTTGACATTTATCTGGGCTTGCATTGTTGACGACAGTCTTCACGATTGGGGTTCACTGCAATTTGGTATCGGAGCAGTTCTCCTGATGACGATGATTGTACACGTGTGCATGCGCCAGGTGACGCAGGTAAGTGTAGAGCACACGTGTGTTGAATAGGCGATGACGTGGCAAGAGATTCGTCTGGAATGCTGACGTGGCAGAGACTTCACTGGCGAGAAGACACTGTTGGGGTTGCTGACGAGGTACAAACTTCGTTAGCCAGAGGACATCCCTACGAGGCTGCTGACGTGGCAGGAGGGATAGCGGCAAGGGATACCGCGCGCCAGCCTGGATCGTGACAGTGATGTGGCATCGCGATCCCCTGCTGACGTGGCATATGTTGTGCCGCGTCTGAAGACCTTGTTGCTGATTGCTGATGTGGCACTTCTCATGCTGCTGACGCGCGACAGGGTCTATTGCAGATGCTGACGTGGCCTTGAGGAAATAGGATTGATTGCTGACGTGGCAGGAAGAAAGTCATCACACCTGTCTTCGTGAGGTGGTGACTGCCTGCGGACATGGCATCGGTCTCCTTGGCCGACGTGGCATGATCCAATTGGTTGGAACGGCGACGGTATCTCAACGTGACGCGTGGAAGTGGCACGTGGCTAGGATCAGAGTACACGTTTGTTGACGTGGCATCCCACTACTGGTTGACTGTACATTGTGGTACAAAGTGCTGACGTGGCAGTACATGCTATGTTGGCATTCCAAGGATGACACGTGGCAGGCTGATGTCTGCCAAGTAAGAGCAACACTCTGAAGACGATGGTGGTATGACTAATTGAAAGACTGACGAGACAACTGTAGTGCCAGCTGTCACGAGGGGTGCAACATCGCATTGACACTTGGACGACACAAAAGGAAAGAAGGATTGCTGACGAACTGTTTGTTGTTGATGTTGGCATACTTACCTTGTCGTTTGCCGTGTTGTGGTGTTGTGCGTACTTGTATGTTGTATCTGATCATACGGGCCTGACGTGGTATGAGTACACTCTTGATTAGGACATCACACAGACAGACAAAAAACAACAATAGTTAGAAAATAGAAATAATTGTATTTTTCTTTTCCTTCGGTTCTTTGAAATCTTGATGTGGTAGAAAAGTGCGGGCATGGGATTTATTATTGATTTATTGTGCGGCAGACGCACGTCGCGATGTCTTTCTTTTTGAGTTATCTGAAATTATCATTGCTTACTCGTTTTATTCCTCTTCTCTTCTACCCAGTCTCACTCATGTTTGCTGTTGACGAGGAGACTCCTAACCCTCGAACCAGGCAACAAGTGGAAGAGCGGAAACGTGTCTTGATTGCCCGTTTGGACAAACTGTTGTCTGAACTTCATGGCGCCGGTGCTGAGACTGAGGCTAATGTCCGGAGTCGGTTTGACTTAAAAACATTACGTAATGCTATTGAATCAATTGAGACTGGCATCGACATTATTAAGGTTCAGGATATACTAATCAAGTGTCGTTAGGCACTTGATAAGTATATTATGGATCAACTTTCCAAGATTGCTGATCAGAACGAAGAAAAAACAGGGGTTGTGTCTGAAGAAGCCGTGAACGAAAATAGCAGACAACTTGAAGAAGCCCTTGAGAAGGAAAAAAGAAAAAAGGAAGAAATGAGGCGAAGAAGAGAAGAAAATGAACAGCAAGCGCAAAAAGTTCAAGAAATCAGACAGACAGTTATTCAGACTGAAGGAGAAGAACAAGCAATATCTTTGGCTCAACTTGTCTCAACTTGTGACTTACCTCGCCCACCTGGAAATGAAGATTGACCAGACTGTTGCACAAATTGATGATATGGTCGTGGGATTACAGACAATCACGAATCTGGTCAAGGGAAAGAACCAGGTGACAGAAAAGGTCAAAGAAGAGAAAAAAGAAAAGCCAGAGAAACTAATGGGAGACGTAATGAAGTCTCTCAAGATAGAGATAAAGGAAACAAAAGAGAAGAAGAGGGAGCCTTCGAGTTCGCCGAAGTCTCCCGGAGGAAGCAAAGTCACCACCGCACAACCTGAGAAACCGAAAAAGAAGGAGAAAGTCAAAATGAAATTGTCTGTCACATTCTGCAACAGAAAAGATGATAATTTATTGTTGTGGATTGCCGAAATACAGACGTATTGTAGTACGGCCCTTGTTGACCCCGAATCCCAGGTTGCTTTCTCTACTTCTTGTCTTGGCGGGGAAGCAAAGGAACGGGTTTTGGCCGAAGCCAATGCGGCGGGGTTTGATGACATTGGGGAGTGGGTTGGAACATTGAACTTGAAGCAGTTCCTTAGCAAGATTAAGGAACGCTTCTTGGACAAAACGACGACCGATAAGGCTTTTGATCAGCGCACCACAATTGGTCAGAAACATGGGACCTCTGTGGAATCGTTTTTTAGGGAAGTTGATCGGTTACTACAGGTTCGTGGACTGAACCTGCAAGACAACCAAGTCTTGTATATCTATTCCCGCGCTCTGCCCGAGCCCATTCGTGGACAACTCGTGGCAGAGTCGAAGTCCGACAAATATAATTATAGGCAGTTTCGGGATATGGCTCTCCAACGAGAGCAAATGACATCTCAGGTGAAGAATTCATATGCGTCCGTTGTGAAGTTTGGTGGTGGTGCAGGTGTAGGAAAGCGGATACTTTGGCGCCAAAAGCGCCAGGACCACACCCTCGTCGTCTTTGACGACGATATTGTGGAAAAGTGGTCATTGAAGGCCGAGGGTGTGGCAAGCAGCAGTGATTCAGGGAAGGGGGAAGTCACTGCTGCCGTGGTGAACAAGGGAGGACCACGGCCTCCAGTAATGAAGAAGAAAAAACCACGCTCGTTCTTAGAGTATCCCGGAATTGTGGCCGCGAAGCCATGGGAAAAGATGGGAATATCACAGGAAATTTGGCGAGAATGGATGGATAACGTGTAGTGCCTGAAGTGTGGTACAACAGGGCATGTGATTGCATGGTGCCCGTTAATCCGTAACCCAAAAGTGAGCCACCAGTAGGAGTAGCATCTGCTCCTAGTGAGTCAAAAGGTTTGGACTAAGATGAAGGTAAGGCGCCTACGACCCCTTCCAACGTTTTGACTTACATGGCAGAGGATGGTTCTTCTTTGGCCCATCGTCCGGAACACCCTGAACCTGTCTTATGTACTGTCTCTTTGGACGACTCTCTTGACGAGCTTGGTAACGAGTTTCTAGCATTACGAAGCTCGTGGGCTAAGAAATCTAAGTCTAAGGGTGACCTACTACTCGTTGACGTAGAGATTGCACGTACACGCGTAGGTGCACTGTTGGACTCAAGATCCTACATATCCGAGAAGGCAAGTCGCAAGTTGCATCTCGGAATGAAGGTAACGAATCTGTCTCGACCAATCACGTTTGTCCTAGCTGAGAAAAACACGATCACTGTCTCGTAATATGTTGATCGTTTGAAGTGTCGATTCCGTACCAAGGAAGGAAAAAAATTTCTACACGAGGTATCCTTCTTGGTCGAAAAGAATTTACCGTTTGACTTGATTCTGGGAATGGACTGGCACGAGGAAACCAACCCAGATATCAAGTTCAAATAAAAGATTGTGCAATTGCGTGACGCACAATCTGAGTTGAAACTAATCAAATTGTTTCATAAGTGTGACTCTGTCTCTAGTCTGTCTTTCTGTTGTATGAGTTATCCAGCATTTCGTTCAATGGTTTCAAAGAAGAGATTGGAACAGGAAGTAATGATGGTCTTAGCAAAGAAAGTAGGAGAATGCTCTACTTCCTGCCCTCCTTCGATTGGAAAACTCTTGGATGAGTATAAAGATCTACAAATCGAACCAACAAGAATAACTGCGCGTGCTATAAAGCACACCATTGAAATTATTCCTGGCAGTAAGACTCCCAAGGGCCCTATCTACAAAATGTCTCATAGGGAACTTGAGGAACTCAGAAAACAACTGCAGGACTTAACAGAGAAAGGATGGATTCGCCCTAACTCTTCTCCTTATGGTGCCCCTGTTCTTTTTGTGCCCAAAAAGCAAGGTGAGTTGCGTCTCTGTATTGATTATAGAGGGTTGAATGCCGTCACTGTTAAAAATGCCGAACCTCTTCCACAAATTGACGACTTGCTGGACCAGTTGCAGGGCTGCAAGTTCTTCAGTAAAATTGATCTAAAGTCTGGATACCACCAGATTGAGGTGGATTCCGCAGATTAACACGAGACTGCATTCCGAACAAGGTATGGTCACTACGAGTTTGTGGTAATGCCTTTCGGACTGACCAATGCCCCAACGACCTTCCAAAGATCTATGAATTAACTCTTTCGTCAATGGTTGGGATCAATTCATCATTGTCTATCTCGATGACATTTTAGTGTATAGTAAGACATTAGAAAATCACGAGAAACACCTACGTCTAGTTTTAGCAAAATTGCGTGAGGGCAACTTCAAGCTAAATCCAAAAAAGTATGAATTTGCTAAGTCCGAAGTCTTATACTTAGGACATATAGTAAACGAAAGATGGCCTAAGACCAGAAGAAAAGAAGATATCAACAATTAGAGATTGACCACGACCTACGTCGATAACTGAACTAAGATCTTTCCTTGGTTTGACAAGTTATTATAGGAAGTTCGTTAGGAACTTCTCATTGACCGTCGCACCAATGAGAAGATTATTGAAAAAAAAAAATGTTTGGTTGTGGGACAAAGACTGTGAGTCTTCGTTCAAAAAGTTGAAATATGCATTGACTCACTACCCAGGTCTGAAAATTGTTGACCCGTCTCTACCCTTCATTGTCACTACTGATGCAAGTCGGTATGGGATTGGCGCTGTTCTTCAGCAGGATTACGGCAAGGGTTACAGGCCCATAGAGTTTACGTTTGCACAACTGCCGTCGGAAAAGGTTGCCAACTCCACCTATGAAAGAGAGTTGTATGCCTTAGTCTGTGCACTAAACACATGGAAACAATACTTATTAGGGAGACACTTCACTGTGTACTCGGGCCACTCTACTCTGAAGTGGATAAGGATACAGCCTAGACTCTCTGATAAGCTGGTACGATGGTCTGCATTTATTGATACCTTCGATTTTAAATTAAAAACGATCAAAGGTAAGTCTAATGTGGTTGCAGACACATTGTCCATACGAAGTGATTTCTTTGGTGCAATTGTCTCTTATCTGGATATTGGGAGTGATTTGAAAGATAGAATTCGGCAAGGATATGTTACTGACCCTATCTGGAAGCTTGTCATTCATGTTCTTGAAAAAAACCGAACTCTACCTCCCAACTACCGTGTAACCGACGGTTTGCTTTTCTTGTTAGACCAGACTGAACAAAGATTGTGTATTCCTCACAAGGAAGAGATTAAAAGTCATTTAATTGGAGAATGTCACAATTTTGAGGGTCATTTTGGATGTGTTTTGGCAGTGTTTGTTGTCTGTCGTAGGTCTGTGTAGTGGTAGGGGTTCGATCTGCAGGTCTGTGGATTAGGAGTCACAGCTTTGTAGAGGTCGTGGTTGTAGGTATTCTGAAAGGTCAAGGTCGTAGCTGCTACAGTCCTGAAAGGTCAAGATCGTAGCTGCTACAGTACCCGAAAGGCCAAGCCCACAGCCTTGTGGAAGGTCCGGAGGTGGCCTTTCGAAGTGTCTCACATTTAGTCAGAGGCAAGTGTGCAAGTGGTGAGCCTTTAGTCAGAGGCAAGTGGGCAAGTGGTAAGCCAACTGCGTTACGTCGGCAGTGCGACTCCATCGAGTTGGCAGTGCAATCCCATGCAGTTAGCGGCACCGGTCCCAGTCAGTCAGAGTCTAGTCAAGCAAGTACCATGTGGGACTGTGTGCACCAAGGGTCTGGGAAAGGGGCAGACCAACGAGTTACAGAAGCATAAATCAAAAGGCAATGCCCAACCATTCATTCATTCGCGGCGTAAGCCATGCGGAAGCGCTGCTATAGCGTCTTGTGTCAGGTGGTCTGGGTGGCCCGAAGTCGAAGTGGGCTTGAGGAAGACAGCATAGTCATAGGGGTAGTAGTGAGCGGCCATAGCCACCATAGATTAGAGGTAGTTGTTATTGTGTGTGGGGGGGGGCGGGAGACAAAGTGAGTGTGCGTGGAGTATTCAGGGTGATCCAGAGTTCGGTGTGAACAGTGGGGTTGAACGCAGTGATGAGAGTGTGACGAACAGGCGCTGTTGCGCCATAGCCTGTTAAAGCGAGTTAGCATCCAAACCGTGTTCTCGGTTGCCATATCTCCGAGCTTGGTGTGGGCGTTGTGCGCCAGTGTGAATCGCCATCTGTTTGGGTGTATGTGAAGTGGAAGAGAAAGCAAGTCTGATTGCAGCTTGAACCCACAACCTGTGTCCCGAAAGGTCATCTATTTACCTGTTGTAGATAGTGTGGTCGCGGGTCTTGAGCCGTGCGTCAAAGTATTAGGAGTCTTAGCAGTAGTGTAGGTCGTAACTGCAACAGTACCGAAGGGTCAAGACTGCAACCTTCCGGAAGATCCGGAAGTGGCCTTTCAATTACTAGGAGTCAGCCCGCGTCTGAGTCAGCGATGGGCAGTCCTAGCACAGTCAGCAAAGGGCATTCCTAGTCCTACCGAGCCTAGTCAGCGGTACCCATTCTCGGTCACACTATGTCTAGTCAGCAAGTACCATGTGGGACTGTGTACCCCGGGCCCAGGGTCAAGGGGCAGACCTACGACCATCCGAAGTATAAATAAAGAGGTTGCGTCAAGTCATGGATTCATTCTACCTGTGAGTCGTGCGGAAGCACTGTCGGAGCGTCTTGTGTAGGAAGGTCTGCAGGTGCCGAAAGAGGAAGTGGGCTAAGAGGAGGAAGACGCGGCCATAGCCGCTTGTGTTAGTTAGAGGTGGAAGACGGCAGCCATAGCTGCCCGTAAGTTAGCAGTAGAGTGTTAGTTTGTGTGTGTGAGTGTGTTGTGCGTATGTGTGCAGGACATCCAGGGAGATCCAGAGTTGCGAGTGTGTGAACAAGTTGCTGGGGATACAGTTGATCGAGGTGAATCTTTGTCTCGCACATTGGCGCCATAGCCGATTGATTCAAGTTTGAATCTGAACTGTGTTCGTGGCCCTGTCTGGTGTGTCAGAGAAACAAACCTTCGCATGAGAATCCACTTGGTCTCTTGAAACCATTACCAATTTCGAGTGAACCAGGTGAGTCAATCTCAGTTGATTTCATGAGTCTCACCAAGAGCCGTAATGACAATAGTCAAGTAATGGTTGTTGTGGATCGTTTCTCTAACCATGCCATGTTTGTTCCCTTACCTATTGAAGCAAGAACTGAACTTGTGATCCAAAAATTTCAGATGCGATGGGTGACTGAATATGGGTTTCCCCTCTCCATTGTGTCTGATCGTGATGCAAGGTTCATAAGTATGCCATGGCAAAAACTGATGGAAGCATACGGTACACGTTTGACCATGTCGTCAGGACGACATCCTAAAACGAATGGACAAAGTGAGCAGATGAACCGCTTGTGTCAACAGCTCTTGCGCATGTATGTGAGACCAAATCAGATTGATTGGGATGAGAACTTACCCAAAATAGCCAGTGCATATAACAATAGTGTTCACACTGCTACGGGTCGTACACCAAATGCACTGCACAAGGGGTGGAAACCTAGGCGTCCCATTGATGTGTTAACGCGGGACCAGTTCCTTAGGTTACCTCCAGGGACACGAGAGTATGCAGTTTTGTTTCAAGAAGACATAAAGAAGGTAAAAGATAATTTAAAGAAAGCTCAGGACCAGATGATCGAACAAGCGAATAAACATCGTCGACCATCTACATTTAAGGAAGGTGATTTCGTCTGGGTACTCCTAACTCCTTAGCGCCTGACAACTCGCCTGCATTAGCAAACAGAAACTTGCTGGTAGCACATCACGGACTTCCGCCAGTGAAAGGTACGTCGTGAGGTCCAGATGATAATCGTGGCACTTTCGTTACTGAATTCACCTCTAAACAAAGCCCTCATGCGCCGAAAGTGATCGTCACAAT